CTGTTTCCAAATGTTTACCGCTGGTTGATTCTATTTTGACCTAATCAACTAGTACTCCCCATAAAAATGGAAATTGGAGGGAGTAGTGTGTATGCATGTGTGATCACTAGCGAGCTGCACACACACACACACACACACACACACACACACACACACATATATATATATATATATATATATATATATATATATATATATATATATATATATATATATATATATATATATATATATATTATGTCACCTTCAAGCAAAAGTGCGTGTCTATTTCGTGAAAACATTTTTACGCAATTGAGATCCCCTGCTGTACCGTTTACTGATAGGTGGATCCGAGAGGCTGTGAGGCCCACATGTAAGTGAGTAGTACTGCAGATAACCTGCATCTATATATGTCTAGATTCATTAACATCAACATGAACGTGAGAAATGCTAGAATGACTTACATTGTGAAACGGAGGGAGTAATACAGTAGCCTATGCGGTAGAACATATTTTGTTAGACACAGTAGCATCTAAACTTTTACCGACAGATAATTGTCTTCTTTTTAGTGTTGTGGTATAGCGCTAGTTAACCACCTCTATCATATTAGCTAGTGCATTTTATATACACCTTGATCACACAGTTTCATAGTTTTATCAAGCTAGCACTCTCACAAAATACCTATAAATTAAGCACCATAGAAAAACCCAAAATCTTATCTTAAAAATATTTTCTGAAACAAAATACCTGCCATGCATGTTGACCATGTAAAATGCGCCGCTGCGGAGTGGGTGAAGACTCTAACCTGACGGTGCCGTGTGCCTCTATCAAACCACGAGAAGCCAACCAGTAAGGAGTACTCCAACACCACAATTATTTTTAGTTTTGATATTTGCTTTATGCCAAGGGCCCAGCGTCCTTGCTAAAATCGTTTGTATCGTTATGTTTTTTTTCTATGAAAGATTGTTATTTTTTTTCACCTCTATAAATACACACGCGTACATTCTATTGATACGAGCGTCTTCGAAAAACAAGGCTGACATACTTTGAGATTAAAGGAGTTATCACGGTGACTAGTTGATGAATACGTTGCCTGCCACTGAATGAAAAATAATAGCAAGTTTAGAACTAGAATCAGGTGAGTAGGTTTAATCATAGGAAATATGACCAGTTAAGCTAATTTCATCTCGTGGAAAGATTGTTATTTTCTATAGCCAAATACGATATATTTTATTGTCTCGGTCATATATATGCAAGCAATACCATTTTTTCCTAAAAGGATATTAGCATATATTTTTTCAACTTCTTATATATGTCTTTTTGGTAATTAAGATAAATGAAACTGATAATAATTATAACCTTGGTAAATTACTAGTAATTAGTTAATTGATCATCATTTATTTTGGTATTAAAAAGAGGTTGTCCATGTTATGCGAAGAGGATGATAGGTAGCTAGGGCCAAATGCATGTCAACATCGATGGCTTTTGGACTATAAAGATGTGAATGCGACGCTTGTGGTGAGCGGTCAATTGGTGGGAGTGGGATGGCTTCTTTTGCCCAATCATTCACATTCATCTTGTCCGTTGTATGAGTATGTATGTCCCAACCTGACAATATATATCACATTAATAATTTGAATATAACAAAAATATGACGTATACTATAGACTCGGAAAGATTTACGATATTTTGTGTTGTTGATGTGAAAGTGCGTGTTTGAAAAGGTAAGAGAATATATACAGATAGATGGAATCACATCGGTAGCCTAGCTTTTTACCACAAAAGTTATATTAGTGTGGGATCGAATAATAACTTAAGTATACCTCCTTTTCTATATAGTTTGTTATATCAAAAGGCTAGGCAGGCAACAATACTAAAAATTATGCAAGAGAATAAATTAGATTAGATTAAAAAGAAGAGATTATGTGATGGGTGTCATTTTCGTGATGAAAGGATATGTAAGTGGAGGATGTGCGTGGAAGAAAAATATGTGGAGGATGCAATTGGTTCATACTATGGATTGCCAGGTGGATACGCAAGAAGATGGATGTAGGCAATTAACAAAGAGGATGCGCCACCGGCTAATTCCATTCCAAGGATGAATGATGGACCCTGGATAAGTGGTATATCTGGTCAATCATGATTCACTAATACTACTAGTACCACTTAAGAGTCCAACCAAAGAAAAATCAAATTTTTAATTTTTAAATTTAATTTTAAAGTTGATTTGAAGATATTTTCAACATATTTTTTTTAAGTATTGGCTTTTAAATCGCTAAGAAGACATATATAAAAGTTTTACATGTAAATTAGTTTTTATTCCTTAATAAGTTGTTTTGGCTTATTAGTAAATATATGGGCAATTGATGAGACCCTTAATTTTTAAGCTACTCTTTTTATCCTAAAATAAATAAACATAATACGAGATATTATTTTTAGATTTATAGTATTTGAATGTGTCACTTTGTTTTTTTTTAAATGGCTGGATGATGTATCTAGACAAGCTACACCGATAACAAACTGCTAGTTTGAGAGGACGAAACTATTTAAAGATGCCATCCATTGTGCAGTTGCAGCGATGGTTGCCGGTTAATAGCTACTCCAAGTTGATAGTACTATATCTTTCTGCTACACTAAACTTGATCATGGTGGGGCCCAAAAAGATTTAGTGTTAAGCTACTACTGATCGAGCAAGCAGGAATTTTTTTGATTATTCGGTTTGGACTTTGGACTAACAAGAAAGAAAAAGACAAAAGATGCTTATCCGTGAAAAGGCCCCTTTGACAGGTGACTCAAAAGCAAACCTTTCCCTTTCCTTTCAACTGGCCTTTTATTTCTCCTTTTTTGTTAATTTCCTTCCGACAGAAACTAATTTCTCCTCTTTTAAATTAAATTCGGGTGGGGTCACCTAGCCTCCAATCGACTCGTGTCGACCAGCCACTCATAAACAATAACTAGTACGTTCTCTGGATCTTCTCTCTCAAAGGTTATGTTGCCGCTATATATTTACAAGTTGAATTATTACTTTTATATGCTTCTATACCTAGATCAATGCCAATAAAAAGCACTCAAGGTGAGCATACCTGGTTTTGTCTTATTCTGTCCAACCCATTCTTATCTTGTATAGATGCTTATCTCAACTTTTTTGTGGCATGTGATAATTATTAACAAGGCAATTGCTTTGTTATATCTTAAAATGTTACAAAGGTTTTAACCTCCTTGTGTAGAATTTTGGATCGCAACAAACCGTTTATTTCTATTTTAGCTATCAACATAATGTTGATCTAGTTTCACTAGCCCCGTCCAAAATATAACTTGGGTTCTCAATATATATATATTAATAGCTTACGATAAAAAAGTGTCACTCTTCTAGTTAAGAGCCTATACTAAAGACCTAGTGAGTTTCAAATTCCCTAAGTTTAATCTAGTTATGACAACATACGGTTGAAAAGTCATAACTGGACAATCAGACAATTGGGAACAATTTAATCAGCTTTCAAGCCATTGTTATGGTCACGGCTTATAAACCAAAGTCAACACTCTACTTTTAACAAACCAAAAAAGCTAGGTTAAAAAGTAGAAAGCAACAAAAAAAAACCCATAAATCAATTCTGAAATTCAAAACTGGTTGAGTTTTCTTTTGTTAGAACTCAGAAAAATATATTAATTACTCCTAAATTTCATTGTTTTTTTTCTTGAAGGGTAAGGTTGATGTTAAAAGTTGTTTGCCAAATGTTAGAAAACATTTATCAGCAGTGCTAAGAAAATAAGAAAATGAGAGAGCATTCTATACCTATAACTGGTGATGTACTCATGTCCACATTGTTAATTAATTATATACATACTCCGTCCTATGAAAAAATCTACTGGATGTCTAGATTCGTTGTATTGCAATATATAACATCTAATTGTAGATTAGTTTTTCCTGGGACGGAGGGAGCAGAGAGCAACGTGGTTCATTGCACGCACAAAGATCCAACTTCTCATTTTGTTTTGAGAGTGTCACTTGTTGGTGGGGCCACAGCCCACATGATGCATAGTGCTGCCAAGTGGACGTACTCTCTCTATCTCTCATCGCCGGATCCATCTAACGCTCTCTCTGCCCAACCTTGATTATTGCTCTACGCACTCGTGTAGCATATGGAAAAACTATATTGGCTCTGTTCTAAAATATGAAGATTTCTGAAATTTACACCGTGATTAAGAATATAGGTGAATTAAATGTGATTATTTGTGATTGGTTCACATAAGAAAATAGGTGGAGAAATTAAATAAGTGCATTATTGTGATTGATCGAGAAGAGAAAATATGTGTAGAATGGACACATTTTGACTGCCAAAAGTTATAGTACAAAAGGAGCAATAGATGTGTTGGTTTATAGTTGGATCAGAAATTGAGTCAAATGATATACATGAATTCATATAGCACTATCACATAGTCGCTACAACGAGAACAAGTACTATTTGTAGTATGTAGTAGTGGTTTAAATGGCGTGATGGTAGTCTAAAAGTATATGGGCATTAGGCAAAACTGTTGTCACCATCATTGCCAAAGTTTTGAAAAAAAAAGATAAACTTTTGCTTACATAGATTTCAAAATAGAAAAAAAAAACAGAACGTGATGTGCAGCTGTCGAATAAAAGAAAAAAGGTACATGGAATATAACTTTAGGGAAAATAGCAGCTCCATTGTTTGGTCTTCAGTCATTGCCAAAATTTGAGTATGAAAACTTAGTTTTAGAGTTACTTTTGGTGTTTTTTCATTGTAGCCTATTTTTCAGTATTAGTTTATAAGTCACTAAAAACACAAGTATAAATAGTTTTATTCATAAATTAGTAATAAGCGTTACGATTTATAATTAGATGTCTATCACATGATAAAGTTAAAATCTCATTGACTGAACTCTCAAGTCTGAAGATATATAATAATTGGTGGTAGAACATGTTGCCCCCCTTTTTTTTTAAGTTTTTCCTGAGGGTCTTTCATTAGAAAAGAACAATGATGCATGTATTCATTCATTCAGGGGGAAGGAAGAACACAAGCAGCACAGCAACAGTAGATTGACTATAGTTGAGCACAACGGTAAGGCCGTGTTTAGTTTTTTCCCTATTCCTAATTTTCTATCCCAACAAAAACTTTCCTACACACGTAAACTTTCAACTTTTTTTCTAAACTCTTAACTTTCTTCAAACTTTTAACTTTTTTCAGGAACTAAACACACCCAAGCTGTTGATAACCAAGAGAAGAATCTACGCTGCACTCCACTTGTGTTGTGCTGTGTATGTTGCCAATGTGTGCACTGTGAAGAAGAAGCACTCACCAAACTCGTCCACTCCCAGCGATAGTATTTATGGTGGCCCCTCACCAGCTGCAGCACATCACCTGATTGCACTGCACTGCTCTTGCTTTCCCCCTCCTGTTGCAGTTGCAGAGTACAGCAGCAGCATCAGCATCAGCATATCTATCTACCTATTCCTTTTTACTCCTCCTCTCTTTATACTCCACTAGTATTTGTCAAATCTTTATTTTTCTACTATACTACTATTTCTCTTTTCAAGGGAAAAGAAAAGAAAGAAGAATATATGTTGAGCAGTGAGGGAGATTTGGAAGTATAAAGAGACAGACACAAGCTCCTCCTCCATCCTCAATTCCTTCCTTCTTTCCATTTATTTTCTTTTATTTTCCCAAGAGAAAGAGGGTGAGGAGGCTCCATCCGCGAAAAGCTACTCGACCAACCCACCTGCCACCCTGCACTTTCCGTTATTCTCATTTCAACCCTCGCATTTTTTACACTCCGCTCCCCATGCCCTGTGAAAACTAATTACAATCCAGTCCTTCACCGGTCAGCGATGCCCACTCCGGTGGCCGCCGCGAGGCAGTGCCTCTCGCCGGCCGCCGTCCCCGCCCTCGACGCCGCCGTCGCCTCCTCTCGCCGCCGCGCCCACGCCCAGACTACCTCCCTCCACCTCATCTCCTCCCTCCTCGCCCCGCCCGCACCTCCCCTCCTCCGCGACGCCCTCGCCCGCGCCCGCAGCGCCGCCTACTCACCCCGCGTCCAGCTCAAGGCCCTCGACCTCTGCTTCGCCGTCTCCCTCGACAGGCTCCCCTCCGTCTCCGCATCCTCCTCCTCCTCTGGCGCCGCCGACGAGCCCCCCGTCTCCAACTCCCTCATGGCCGCCATCAAGCGCTCCCAGGCCAACCAGCGCCGCAACCCGGACACCTTCCACTTCTATCACCAGGCCGCCACCGCCCAGACTCCCGCCGCCGTCAAGGTCGAGCTCTCCCACCTCGTCCTCGCCATCCTCGATGACCCCGTCGTCAGCCGCGTCTTCGCCGAGGCCGGATTCCGCAGCGGGGACATCAAGCTCGCCATCCTCCGCCCGGCTCCGCCCATGCCGCTCCTCGGCCGCCTCCCCACGCGCACCCGTCCGCCGCCTCTCTTCCTCTGCAGCTTCGCCGCCGCGGACGACGCCGACGTCCCTTCGCCGGCCGGGAATCTCGCCGGCGCGGGGGAGGAGAACTGCCGCCGCATCGCGGAGATCCTCTCCCGCGGCCGCAACCCCATGCTCGTCGGCGTCGGGGCCGCCTCCGCCGCCGACGACTTCGCGGCCGCCTCCCCGTATCGTATCATCCATGTCGACCCCAACACCATCGACCGCTCAGACCTCGGCGTGGCGGCGGCAATGGCCAGTGCCACCTCCGGCCTCATCATAAGCATCGGAGACCTCAAGCAGCTGGTCCCCGATGAGGACGCGGAGGCGCAGGAGAAGGGGCGGCGGGTGGTGGCGGAGGTGACGCGAGTGCTGGAGACGCACAGCAAGGTCGGCCGCGTCTGGGTGATGGGGTGGTCGGCAACGTACGAGACCTACCTCGCCTTCCTCTCCAAATTCCCCTTGGTCGACAAGGATTGGGACCTCCAGCTGCTGCCAATCACCGCGGTGCATGCCGCCGCCACCGCTGGCCCTGCTGCTGCTGCTGCTGGACTCATGCCTCCGGCAACCACTGTTGCTGCCTTCTCCAAGCCAGCTGCAAGGTCAAGCCTTTTCTCTTCTCTTCTCTTCACTTTTGTATCCATGAATTCTTTATGCATAAGATTTTATTACCATCCATTTGCTGACTGCCGTGCTTTCTTTATTGTCAGAATGTTTCTTGGATAGTAGTGTATCTGATTAGGTGTGCTAGTACGATTTGCTTATGTTCTTTACTAATTTCATTTTTTTTAAGTGTTGATTTGTGTGCTTTGCCCATTGTATGGATATTTTTTTCAACTTGTGCAATTGATTTAGTGTACTACTGTAATTAGAAGCAGCATAGGTTGTTAAAAAGGCATAAATCTAGAAAGGTTTGTTTTCTTCCACTGCATTTTTTTTAAAAATGTTTTTACACGGTCAATGATGTACAACCGTTTTTGTTTAATGCGATGGTTGAGTTATGTTCTAAGTGCCATGTTACTCCTGTTATGTTCTTGTTGAGTTATGACCGATTCAGTTCTGTTAAGTACGACAGGAGTTGCTGGAAATTTTCTCTTCTCAGAAGTGGGTTCCTAATGTGTTGTCATCAGAACCTTCCAGACCAACTTCCTTCTAGATGCTCTGCTGTTAGTCACTACCTGTGTTATTTACTGATTTCTCAGCTCTTTTTTCTTTTTTGCCTTTAGGATATTTAATGGGATTTTCTTCTTATAAGCCTTTTCTCTGTAGTCCTATTCTTGTAATATTTTTGGATTTTATTACTACATATGTGTGGCCATGAAGGAGAGGTTCTATTGCCGGTGCAGAATCCATATGCATACACATTTTGAACTGCTTGATAAAGAGAGACTAAAGTGTAAAAGTAAAATAATACAGCTTGTGTACTAAGAGATGCAATTTCATGGTAAAAGAGTGGTGCTTCTGCTGCAGCACATCTGTTCTTTACTGCTGTAATGCTCAAATTGCTGATAGTTTGGGTCATATATGTGGGCAGAGATTATTTGTCATTAATATGTAGTATCACCTATAGTGAATTACCTTGATGCATAGGGCTAGTGATTTCTGTCACAACATAGTATTGTATGGCATTTTATTCAGCTGTAGAAATGTTAATGCTTAAGCGTTGCTGGTATTAATGACAAAGTGACATATACATAACTCCAATATAAAGCAACGATATGCTTGTGTCTTGACCTCATAGTTTCAAACTTGTTATTGCAGCTTGATGGACTCCTTTGTTCCTTTTGGAGGCTTTCTCTGTGATAACTACGAAGAGAACAGCCTGACAGCAAATTCATGCCCACAGGCCCTGCGGTGCCAGCAGTGCAATGATAAATATGAGCAAGAAGTTGCAACTATCATTAGCGCAAGTGGCATTACAGCTGAAGACCATCACCAGGGAGGTCTTCCTTCCCTGCTGCAGAATGGCAGCATGATGGGTCCTAACAATGGATTTGATCCAGTCAAGGTGTGAAGCTACCTATGTCTTTTGGAACATTTATGTTAAGTACTGAACGCAGCAAGCACTGCTTGTTGATAGATGAATAATTTTTGGTCGTTGGTATAAAAGATGCACAGTTTTTTTTCAGTGCAGGCTAGAGATGATCGGATGGTATTGAATTCAAAAATATTGAATCTACGGAAGAAGTGGAATGAGTACTGCCTGCGGCTCCACCAAGACCACCAGAGGATCAACAGAGATCCTTACAAACCATTTCCGCGCTATATTGGTGTTCCCACTGACAAAGAAAGATCAGCAAATTCAAGCAAAGGTTCTGAGTCAGTTGGGGTTCAAAAGGATGTTATTAAACCTTGTGCGGTGTCTGCTGTACATTCCAGCTCAACTGCAAGGCCTATTTCATCTCCATCTGTCACCAACAAAAGAAATGAAGATCTTGTATTGAACCTTCAAGCCAGGCATTCCAAGAGTGATGAAAACCTTCAAGAAAGGGGCATGCAATCCCAACATGGCACCCTGTCGAATGTTGACAATCCGGATGATCATGTCTCACCATCATCTGCTGCACCTGTGGAAACTGACTTGGTTTTGGGCACCCCTCGAGAGTGTAGTTCGAAAGGTTCAAGTTCCACCTGCAGTAAACGTGTAGAGGATTCAGAGAGGTCTGTCCATCTGGTACCCAAGAAGGTGGATGATTTAAATCTGAAGCATCCACAACTCTCTGTTCAACCTAATTCCTGCTCCTGGAGTTCCATAAATGTTGGGAAAACATCACACAGTACACTACACTCAGTAGCTTCAGGAGGCTTCTCTGCCTTTGGCCAATGGCAGAAACGGTCACCTCTTGCTGCACAAAATTCTGATCTGAGCAATTACAAGCTACTTGTTGAACGCCTGTTCAAGGTAGTTGGAAGGCAGGAGGAAGCCTTGAGTGCTATTTGTGAATCCATTGTGCGGTGCCGGTCAACAGAGTCGCGCCGTGGTCCTAACAGGAATGACATCTGGTTGTGTTTTCATGGTTCTGACAGCATGGCCAAGAAGAGAATCGCCGTGGCACTTGCAGAGCTCATGCACGGCAGCAAAGATAACTTGATTTATCTGGACCTAAACCTTCAGGATTGGGATGACTCCAGTTTCAGAGGGAAGACTGGCATAGACTGCATTGTGGAGCAGTTGAGCAAGAAACGGCAATCTGTTCTCTTCCTTGACAACATTGATAGAGCTGACTGCCTTGTTCAGGATAGTCTATCTGATGCTATTAAGTCTGGCAGGTTCCAAGACATGCGAGGCAAGGTGGTTGACATTAATGACTCGATTGTGGTTTTGTCAAGAAGCATGATACAGGGCAGCAAAAATGGGTTGGAAGAGGGCCTTTCATTTTCTGAAGAAAAGATTCTGGCAACTCGCGGACATCGACTGAAGATCCTGGTTGAACCGGGTAGGGCAATCACCAGTGGATGCCCTAGTGGTAAGGTGGTAGTTTCCCCAAGGCATTTTCTCACCAAAATTCAAGCATCTTTGTGCTCTGGTTCCATCAGCAAGAGAAAGCTCAGTATTTCTGATGATCAGGAAAAGCTACAAGAGTCGCCAAGCAGTTCAAAGCGACTGCACAGAACATCGAGTGTACCATTCGACCTGAACCTCCCTGTTGATGAAGATGAACCCCTTGATGCTGATGACGACAGTAGTAGCCATGAAAATTCATATGGCAACACAGAAAAATCCATTGATGCCCTTTTGCATTCGGTTGATGGATCAATCAACTTTAAGCCGTTTGACTTTGATAAACTTGCTGATGACATGCTGCAGGAGTTCAGCAACATACTCAGGAAAAATCTGGGTTCTGAGTGCATGTTGGAGATTGATGTTGGTGCAATGGAACAAATACTTGCCGCAGCATGGAAATCAGAGGAGGATAGGAAACCTGTGCCGACCTGGCTGGAGCAGGTTTTTGCCAGGAGCCTTGACGAGCTGAAGCTCAAGCGTAAGCATGTGAGTAGCTCTACCCTTAGACTAGTGGCCTGTGAGGACACAGTACCAGCAGTGAAAGGAGACGGTTTAGGAGTTTTGCTCCCGCCAAGAATAATTCTAGATTGTTGATGATATTATCTGTATAGGGATCGCTGTAATTATCTGTAGTCCACAATAGTATAGCATTATTTGTTGGCTAAATAAGCTCTAGTCTAGCTGATGCATTGCCTTGGGTTCTCTAATTAGCTACTGCCATTACTGTCATATCATTTTCTACCTCAGGGCCTTTTCCAGATATATGGGCATCCGAATGTATATTGGTTGTAACTACTATGGATTGTCAATATTTGATTGTTCTATATATACATGGACACATGGTGCTCAGTCAGTGTACTTGTGTGGTTCATGCTGAAATCCACAACTGCAAGGTTGCTTACATATTTTGTTGGCCAACTTGTATATGTGCTCTCATCTCGTCTTAATTTGTGGCAGGAGTTGATTGCTACTCCAATAACTACGTTTTTATTATTCCTGAATGATGCTATCATGTACGGTAGGGTGCCGATGATATTATAGAGACCTTATAGTTAGTTGTTCAATGGTCCATAGAAAGTTACATAAGCATAGTACTTGATGCGCCTACTTGCATTAGAAGCGAACTCGAATTGGATGCTAGTAGTAGCAGATTTGTGATTTGCTAGACTCCAATGCAGAAGATTCCAAACAATCTGATGGATGCATCCGTAGTCACTCACACTAGTCAGTATCAACAAAAGATGAACTAGGCTGTGAAATCCCAATAGTAATTCAGTTTTGATCATCATGATTATGCAAATAAACTCCATTGTGAGTGATTCAGTATGGAAAAATTAAGGTGCAGAGCTTAATTCGGATCATAATTGTCTGCTCAATGGCGCATACAAACTCCAGACATTGAATTGCCTGGCGAACTCCAAAGGGTTACACGGTATAACTTGGACACTTTCAGAACTAGTCAAAACTGAACGACCCGCTAGCTACAACAACAATTGGACAATGCTTGTTTAGTGATCTGAATATGGTGATCCAACAGATCAATGAATCCCTGTGTTCTGCAGGGCCGCATGCTTTTGAGCAGGTAAGTAGCCCTTGCTGCTTATTATTTCTCTTTCTTTCAGCAGTTCATGCTATGATGGATATGCTATCTATCAGGAAAATAATCCATTCTTCGCTTACTAAGCTACTAGTACACGGTGACTCCAATAATTTTCAAGTTAATTTTTCACTTGTGCTTAGCATCTTCGGCCCAGTCAGTGCCGTTCAAGCTGTGATCTGTTTGGTAGTAAACAACATCCCCGACGTCGCTGACAAAGTGATCAACTCTCAAGCTCCTCAGCAGAACGCCAAACAGGTGAAGTGGCAGCGGACCTGACTTCTCTGGCTCCCTGTAGTATCTACCCAGCACTGGTCTTGCTGCCTTTGTCTGTTTTTTTTTCCCATCAAAACAAGGCAATTGTTTCATTACTCAGTGAACTTGGTAACAGTGCACCGTACATACATACTATCTAGCAGAGGTGAATAATGCTGGCGGTGTACTTACTGCTTCTACGAGGTGATAATGAGGAATTTGGGGGAAAAGGTGGTGGATGACATGGGTGCCAATGTCATGGTGGATGTTGTTGATCCACCCGTAGTCCCGATCCACCGTTGTCAGGCCACCGCGGAGGTAGCTCCATTCCTGCAAATAGTGGTCATTGCCAGATGTTCAGCCCTATTTTCAGTGTTTGTAAGCAGAACTTAATGAAGTATAGAGTGAGAGGAAGTATAGAGTGCTCATAGGCTGCACCCAACTCAATAACCTACAGCAACTTTTCGGGCCCCTTTGAATCAAAGGAACTATGAAGGAATTTCATAGGATTGAAATCCTACAGGAAATTTTCCTATGTAGCCCTTTGATTCAAAGGATTGAAGTTTTCCAAATCCTACAAAAATCCTAGGGAATGGCTTGTTGCATATAGGTTTTGAAGGAAACTTAGCAAGAGGTCCAATCTCTTGGTAAAAATCCTTTTAGCCTATCTCTCTCATCCGATTCCTGTGTTTTTCCTGTGGTCCAATCAAACGATCATTCCTGTGTTTTTCTTGTGTTTTGCAATTCTCTGTTTTACACTTGCATTCCTATCAGAATCCTATGTTTTTCCTATTCCTCCGATTTTTTATTCCTACGATTCAAAGGGGCCCTTCATGCTTTATTCTGGAAAAACTATGATTCAATCAATACAGAAAAAAGATATACCTCTCCACGATACCAGGGAAGGTCATTGTGACCGTGGTGGTGCAGATAAGTCACCAAATCAAGCCACATCACGAATACCTGTTTTGAATGCAGGCAACACATATCAGATATCTAGCTTTTGGGTACAGTTTCAGTTAGATATCCCATAAATATGATGGAGTTTCTTAAAAGCAAAAGCAGAGGAAGTGAATAATCAGGTAAGTGTATCTTACAAGATATGGGACACCGTATAGCATGAGCACCGGAACAGGGCCAAACACGCACGCCAAGGCGACGAGCAACGAAATCATGATGCACCAGCAGGTGGTGGAGACAATCACGTCACTCTTTTCCTTGGGGCTGAACAGATCGCTGCTCGGCAGAAAGTGAGATCCGGTCTTGCCCGGACTTCTGTACCACTGCAGCATATTCAAGTATCCGTATAGAAGATTCAGTTGTCTTTCTTTCTTTCTTTTGGGGAATACAGATTCAGTTCAGTTTCAGTTGAGTCATTCATTCAGCACAATTGCGTGGAGTTGCCGGGTGAGGAGGACATTCAGAGACTTACGAGGTAGACAGGGAAGGCAAGCAATGTAAATGGTAATGTAAAGCGCAGTTTCTTGGTGCGTGTCTCCAGCTGCCAGTACAATTTCTCGGTGATCTGCTCAAACAAATTGCAAAAACATATATAAAAATATAAGCAGATCATAGAGTACGTATCTATATGTTGAGAGCCAGCTTATATACAGGTGACAAGCAAAACAAAACTCATTCAGCCTCTCGTTATTCAGTCAATAAAGCTGAGCAGATGCTTATGCTACCCGGGCGGCCTTATTCAAATGAACCTACAACTTAATTAGCATATATATGTTATGAATCAAATCACGTGATGTGTAATATGATATTCGATCTGACGCTGAGCTACGAATCAAAAAGTGATCCGAATCGCATCTGGGATCCCTGGTGAATAATTTAGCAGCAAAGGCACGTGAGCCAGATCTACTGTCTCAATCTTGTTGGTATTATTACCATTCACGGACCACAAAGGCTAGCTGATATTTTGCAACAAGCAGGGTGGATCGTTGTGGTCTGCTGCAGTGGTCATGTGCCCTTCTCCATCTGTATTATTATTATTAATGCAATTGCAGGTGAGCATGTCGCATAATACTTACTGTTCGTTTGGCTGTCCTGTCCTTTCCCGTCCTGCCAAACGCCCCAGTTGGACACGCTAGCGAAGAATACGGAGTATATTTGCGAAAGTCATATATATGATAGTACTAGTAGTACCGCGAATTAAGCAAATGTAATTGGTGTATCTTTTTCAAAAGGGTTGTAATTGTTGTACGGGCGATGGATTGAGACAAGCATAATTAAGGATAGTACTAGGAGTGGAATTAAGTTGAGAAGTGCAAGCAATTGTAGGATGGGCGAGAGATGAGAAGAAATTAAGAGAGGAGGTGATCAGAAGGAGTGACAAACCGGGTGCCAGGACTCGTCCCTCTCGATATGACCGTGGTTCTGATGGTGTGTTCTGTGGCTGATCCTCCTGCATATGACATTATTAATATCAATCAGATGGTCAGATCGGATGGGTCAACGAGATGAATTAGCATAGCAGTGATGGTCCAAGATGGTAGATAGATTAATGAAGCAGTTGCTATGCTAATCCAAGACTGAGCATTGCCTAATTGCACATATCATGTGAAGAGATTCTCGATTTGACAGGACAAGCTAGTTCCACATATATAGGATGGAGACCCGAATATATATATGTGCTCTTTTTTCAACTTGCTTCGCTTGCATCTACTATGCTTTTGCCGTGTGCCGCGCGTGTGGTAAAGCAAAACTTTTTTAGTTTCTAACTAATTAATTGGTTTCAGAGCATTAATTTGGTAGGTGTGCAATAGAAGTAGGTAGGTGAAAATAAATATATATATATATATATATATATATATATAGAGAGAGAGAGAGAGAGAGAGAGAGAGAGTATAGGAGGAGTTGGTACCATCCATGGTAGGGGACGAGGATGAAGGAGTGCAGGAGGTGGCCGACGACGTTGTTGAGCATGGCGCTGTCGGAGAAGCTCCCGTGCCCACTGTGTTTGCATGCTTTTTTCATGGAGATCTCGATGGATTGATGCATATATGAGAAAAAAAAATGGAAGCGATGAATGAATGAATAGAAATACCAGTCGTGGCCGAGGACGAAGAGCGCCCAGAACATGGTGCCCTGCGCCGCCCAGTAGAGCGGCCATGCCCACGCCCATGCGAGATCGATGGAGGAAGCGGCTGCGGCGAAGAGGGCGGCGACGATGAGGAGGTCGCGGGCGACGTAGGAGAGGGAGCGGAGGGGGGTCTTGCGCCAGCAGTGGGCGGGGATGGCGGCGCGGACGTCGCCGATGCGGAAGGGCGGGGGCTTGGCGGCGTCGAAGAAGAGACGGGCGTCCTCGGAAGCCTTGCAGTCGGCCTCCTGGGTCGCCGACGCCGCCATTGCCGCCGCCGTGTCGTGGTGGATCTGATTCCGATTTGTGATTTGTGAAGCTTTGGCAGCGAGGCGAGGCGGAAAGGGAGAAGAGACAAGAAAGAGAAATTTGAGGGGAGGTGTTTGGTTTGTGCCTGCGAACGCGAATGCGATGGATGGGCCGCAACGCAAACCCAAACCCAACCCAGGAAGGAAGGAAGGAAGGAAAGCAAGCTCCTCCTCCTGTGCTGTGTGCGGCCTGCCCCCTTTGCTTTGCTATGTCCCTATTTATAGGCCTCCTCTGCTCCTTCCTTCCCATTTCATCACCACACCACACGCTTATGCTTTTTTGGATTCTCTTGCCTCCTCAATTAAACCGTCCTCCCTCCATCTCTATTCAACAAAATCCATACTACTATTTGTTACTACTCCATACTCATTTGCCTACAATACTAATAACATATATGTAGCGCATTACAGCTAACCAGCCCCATACGTAAAACTAGCTAGGATGTAATGTAAAAAAAAAATATGAGCGGACTAAAATAGACATGGGGAGGACCGAACTGTTTGGTTGCTCGGTTTCTCTAGCGCTATGCGTGGACTGTGGGAGGAGTAGATAGCAGCAAGGTGACTCCCCTTTACATTAGTAAACAAGTACTCTTTCCCCCTCTTCGCCACATCTTTAAAATTGATCACTCCATCTGCATCGTTGTTCAGTGGCACCCACATATCAACTGATGGTGACATGTGGGAAAAAATAAATTTTGGACTAATAGTAAAATTACACTAGTGTAACATCCTGAAAATTCAATACAATAAAAATCACTAAAATTTTGAACTTTTTAAAATTTTTGCATCATGCTGGATGTTATGGTTGCTTTTACTTGCCAAACTATAAATTGTCACAATGGAAAATTAAACTAAAGTTATACAGCTAAGTAATAATTATAATAATAAGATATTTATTATGAACCCCATAAATATTTACGCACGAGAAAACAAAGCCAGACAAAGGGAAGGTTAATTACCAATTTAATTTATGGATCAAATATTAAATACTTGAACCATGTGATGCGTGCCATGAAATATAAGTACACATGAAATGATGATCACATCAATGGCCCCATCTATAATAGAGCATCTCACTAGAATATATAATTAATATTTGAAACACCTTATCAAGCTCCTCATAGCATGAAAATCACTCATATAAAATAATGGTCATATAAATAAATTAGGCTTTATACATAAATAAGAATATGTGAGTGTTTAATTAAACAATTAGATAAATATTGTGCCGAGTCTCAATTTACTATTTATAGAATAAATAGATTGAACCTATCCGTGTAAAATATATTGCTATACAACTAAACTTGACCAATCTGCTAATGTATTAATCATGACAAGTCGTTATATTAAATTTAATAGTACCCCAAAGTCTTCAAAAATATATAAGTTCACCTTAGGGCCAATAACTCAAATTAATCTAAAAAGAATTCATTTGTGCGAAAAATAAATAAATATGGGTAATATTAATCTAGGGTGAATTCATTAGTTAAGATAACACAAATATTGAGTAAAATGCATATATGTAAAATTAGGAATTGTGGATTCAAATTTATATGGAAAATACACTAAAATCGGGATAAATAGGAAAAGTCACTGTTCATTGCGCCTAAGGTGTTCGATGTGGTCCCTAGCCTTCCCCCCTCCTCTCCCACCTCTGCCCCTAGCCGCCCCGAGCCCGCGCGTCGCCGCCTCGCGCCGCTCGCCCGCCGCGCCGCCGTCGCCATCGTCGCCGTCGGCCTCGAGCCCCGTGCCGCTGCCTCGCGCCCCGCGCCGCCGCTGCCACGTTGTTGCCGCGCCGTGCGCCCGCCTGCCGCCGCGCGCCCGTTCCATTGCCGCACCATCCGTCGCATCGCCGTCACCGCGCGTCGCCGTCCCGCGCCGCGCCGCCCGCCCATCCCATCGCCGCGTGACCATCCCGTCGCCGCGCCGCGCACCCGTCGTGTCACCGCTGCCGCCCGTCCCATCGCCGCCTGCCACCGCGCGCCGAGCCCCGCGTCGCCCCGAGCCCCGCGCCGCCATCACGTCGCCACCCATCGCGTCACCACCGTCGCGTCGCCGCCCCTCCCCTCTCCTTCTTCCCCTCTTCCCTATAAACACCCCCACCCCTCTCCATTATTTCCCACTCCATTCCTTTCTCCTCTCCCTCTTCCCCCTTCTCCACGCGCCGCCGTCGTCGTGCCGCCGCGCCGCCGCCACAAAGTCACCGCGCCGCGCCGCGACTTGCGCCGCCGTCGCCATCGTTGCCGCCGCGCCGCCGACCACGGTGACGCCGCACCGCACCGGGTGCCGCGCCGCGTCCTGCGCCGCCGTCGCCGTCGTCGCCGCCACCGCCGCCGCCGGTGAGCCGTCTTTCCCCCCCCCCTCCACCTCGCGCCCACCGCCGTCACCGCCCGAGGGAGAAGCCGAAGAAGAAGAGAAAGGAGCCGGGAGGGAGAGAAGAAAGGGAAAAAGAGAGAGAGGAGAGAAAGAAAAGAAAAGGGAAAAGAGAGGAGAGAGAGAAAAAGAAAAGAAAAAGAGAGGAAAAAAAAAGGAAAAAGGAGAAAAAGGAAAAGGAAATAAATAAGAAATTAGGAGGATTTAGGAAATAAAAATGGTCGGGGTTAATCATAGATTATTTTTGAAAATTCCTCGAGCGTAATAGTATTTCGGTCGAAATTCCGAGTTAATTATAAGAATATGTGTCTTGATCAGATTAGATTAAAATTGGTAGTAATTTAGATATAATTAATAACTAAACAATTAGATGAATTCTTATAGATTATTATAGATTATTTTTGGTAATCTCTATAAGTCATCGGTTCACGGTAGAAATTCAGATTTAATTACTAGGAATCTTAGCCGTGTATTATATCGTTTAGTCATAGACTAAATTAAATTGTATAATATTTCTAGGATTTCGTCCGATATTTAGCTCGTAATAGAAATTTCTAACCTATTATATGGATATAATGCTCGGGAAGAGTAAATTAAAAACTTATGACAACAAAATAATTATACCCGCAAAATAGTTTAAATCGAAATTGGGTTTGCCGTAGTTCGCAGATAGTAAAGTCACTGTAGCTTGTGGATAAGGTTGTATTATAAATAAATGAATTAGGGACAGTACCATTTCGCAATTATTAGAATTAATTCAAATTTGAATCTTTACGCTAGCATAACTTATTCATTTCAGCTCCGATTTGAGTGAAACTTGAACCTAAATTCATCTAATTTCATAAGCTTTCCAATGATATATAATTCACTATTGTATAAAATATATTTATAAAAATTAAATAATTAATATCAAGATGATGCATAATAGTCAACTTAAAAATATGCTAATAAATAAAATTAGTATTGTACAGCAGAATAATTATCTTTAATATGTTCTGTCACTGTAGCAACCACATAAATTAAGTATAATCGATGTTTGAAGTTAATGGATATATAGGAAAATATTAGTGCCATTTATTAATCTATGTCCAAATATAATTAAAACCCACGACTTATTAGTTATTTAAATAGAGTTAGCCTTATAATTATTAGGTAAGTAAAATATAGATACACATAGATCGGTCCTAAGCTTGTTTATGGCAAATAATAACAGAGCTAGTGTGATTAAATCACCTATATGAAATTAATCAACGACATATCCCATATAATAGCATATAGTGGGAGAGGTGAGCAACCCTTAGTTAACCAAGCAGTAAATAGAAACTATTCAAATAAATGATTCAATATATTAAGATATTGTGCACACATATATTGTACATCCCATTATAGATATATGGTATCGTATTAATTTGCTTGTTGCATATATTAATTTAGAGGGAGTATGTGACGAACATGAATATTAGATAAATACTAGTTATACATCTTGTCCTCGTATAATTACATATCAACTGTAAATTTGGATTATTCATTGTAAAATTATGTGATGGGATAATCCGTAACCATAATATGATTAACCTAAACAATTCTAACATACAAAGCATGGGTAATTGTTAACCTTTTATAATTTATTTTGACAAGTGAAATATGTACATAATTAAATTAAAGCCTCCATTAATAAAATAATAATACAAATGATTCACAGTAATTATTTGACCGATCCAAAATCCATCCGGCAACAGAACCTCTAGTGTATAACCGTTCTATTTAGATAGATGCATGTGTAACCATAATCCTTCCTTAGCCATTAGCTAGACTGAACCACCATGACAACAGAAAGACTAAGAAACCTTAGCTCTTAGCTTGATTAGAGTCCATTAGCAAGCGCGAATAATATGAGCAACCCTAGGTTCGACCTCAGCAAATATATTTTGTTTGTGCATATTTGATTGTTGCTTGAATATTGGTTTTTCTCGCGTATTATAGACTTTGTGTATCGGTTAGTCGTGAGGCAACGTCTGCAACTTCCAGGAGGTGAAGGTTGATCAAGATTATATCGAGAATAGGGATTATCCTGAGCAGGCAAGTCATCACTATTCCTTGAACATATTGATCCCAATTGCGAAATTGTTTTGTTTATAAATAATATTGCATGCAATGATGAACATCCTACTTGTGATTATGCCATGCCTTGATTATTGTTTACCCTTAAATCTTTGTAACCATGTTTACGTATGAGTCCCTAGTCAACTATGACAATTGCTTAGAAAGGCTATTCTAGAATCATGCATACTCATATTTATCAAATGCTATATGCTTGGGCAATTACCTTTGGGAAGGTAATTGAGATGCGGCATGTGGAGACATGAGCGCCACATTGCCATGATGTTGATGACATGATTTGTGAAAGTGGAAATAAAATTAAACAACTGTTTTCGACTGGGGCGGACGGAGGATTTGGGTGGTATCTGGAAAAGGCTAGTACCGTCCCCGGTCAATTAAGGACCGAGCCATGAAGTTAAGCATGAAACGACCCCCGTACAACCGTACTTCTCGAATGGGTATAGACCTAGCGGATTAGATAGCTGAGCGGAGGCAGTATCCCTGCATAGATGGTTCACCCCTGAGTGAGGCAGGTGCGCTACAATGGGACAGCCGTTGAGGTAGGGCCGAGAGGCGTGCCCTACATCGGTGTCGCCATTGGTAGGACTGCCATGAGTGTGTGAGAGAGAGAACTTAACTTGAACCATAATTTAATATGCGTGTGAGACTTCTCTTTCCCGGGAGCGCCAGAACTCCTCTCACTGCAAGAAACATGGACGCCTAGAGTG